GATTGAACCTATCTGGTGATATATATCTCTTGTATTTTTTTCTATCATGTTATTAATGAAACTGAGTTTGTTTTAACTTTTCTCAATGTCTGGCTAAATAGAATTATCTTGATGAAGGTGGGCCTGCCAGTTATCTTGGACCATGCTCAAAAAGGAATTTTTAAGAAAATATATGTTTCGAAATCTAAAGTTAGGAATGACCATCATGTCTCACTGTAATACCAATAAGGAGAGGAGAGTGATAAAAAAGGTTCTACTGAGGTGATTAATAAAAGTTGCATTAAAAGAATTCATACAAACATCATTAAACATCATAAGATTCAAATGTTGCCACAAATTACCATGATTCCAAGTAAAGGAATTTCTAGTATTACGAATGTGGAGTAAGTTGCTATCCAAAATCATATTATTGAAATCCTCCATAAATTGATAAAAAGGGTCAGAACCCCTAATTCCTTAAGTAGGATTCAAAATATTATTGAAATCACCACCAACTACCAATGTAAATTAATAAGACTATAAAAATTAACAAGTTCCTCGAAAGGAACCTTCCAAGTAAAATGAGAAGATGTCACATAAACAAAAGAAGCATAACCATTTAACTTTAATAATAACAATATTGTAATGAATAACTTGAGAAAAATCCCCAACCACATCAATAACAATAGGATCTTTTCCAAAAAACCTAAATTTTTTTAGAAGAGTTAGCCACGACATGATTAAAACCAAAAAATATTGTAATTTTATCCAACTTTTTTTAAGAGAATGCAAAATAATATTATTACTAAAAAAAGCGATTACAAACTAATAAATGGATCACATTCCTCCTTTAACAAGGTAATAAAAAATGGAGGAATATAAACCCAATTACAATTATTCCAAACGAAATTACTACTATGAGAAATGTTAGCACACATATTATCTAACTTATTACAATCTCTATTAACTTTACTAAAAATCACATTCTTGAATTCTTTGAGGAAGTCCATCTCTTCCATTCCTTTTGTAATTGCCATCTTGGATAGATCTTTATTAAGTTTATGAGGAAAATTAATGACATTTGCATTATCACCTTCAATAATAATTCCTTCATAGACTAACATCTAATCTAAAATAACCTTTAATGCCAGAATAGCCAATAACTCTAACTGAGCAACATCCTAATGCAATCCCTCGAAACCAAAAGCCAAAAGAAATCTTCCTTTAAATCTCTAAAAACTCCACCTATAGTAGCTTCATAAGAAAGGAACATAGAAGCATCCATATTAACTTTAAGCCAACTAGGAGGTGGGGGGTGCCAACTTTTAGTCAACAACTTATTAGGCTGATTAACACTCTAGTAGCCCAATTTAAGAGCACCTTTATCTACAAAAGAGGCAAGAGAAATAGCTTGAATAGTTATAAACAAACTAAAATCTTCTAATGCTCCATGAACATGCTTACATCTTGATTTCCAATTAAGAAAACCAAGATGCAATAAATTTTAACAAGAGTAGGATTCTTGCCAGAGTTACTTTTCATCCACAAACAAAAATCCTTTAAAGAATAAAAAATTGGTAACAAGAATCCCCACTTATTAATGATTTGTATGCTTTGAATCAATTTGTAGCATTCAACCACCACATGAATGGTGTTTTTCGTCTTTCATCAGCCCAAAGGACAAGCAACATCCATTCTCAATCTTCTATTCCTCAAAAAACCATATGTTGAGAATGCTTCACTTTAAATTCTCCACCAAAAATTCTCCACTGGTGGCATAAGCTTGATTTTTTAAGCCAATCCTAAAGTATATCTCTTCCCATTAAATCACTTGATTTTTGAAATAATAGCATATAGTGTTTTACCTATTTGAAAGTGAATCAATTCCAAGCTATCTTTTAAAATATATGAAGCAATATGAATTTGAGAGACGACCATAACTAATTCTTCTCCAAACCATTTCTTCAATTCTTCTATGTTCTAACAAGCATGTGTGATGAATTTATCAAGTTTCATATCCTCCATAAAGTGAACCGAAACAAAAGTTTGACATTTAATAATACTTTTATCCATTAACCAAACATCATTGAGCATATTAATAGATTTTCCATCATTTACCTTCCATTTAAAAGTCCGAGCAATAGCCTTACACCCACTCAACAAAATTTTAAAAACTCAAGAAACACCTTTCTTATTTTGAGTATTCCAGATACATGTCCCATATTTAGTAGCCCTGACTTAATATAATACGGAAGAAGTGCCATTAAGAAAATTCCAAGAGACTTTAGCTCTTGAGGTCCAACCTTATTTACATAAGAATGGAGGATACGTCCACCTAGTTTCCTAGGCAAATAGAAGACATCCCAGCTAACATAGTGAATTCTCAAAATTCCACTCTATTTATTCCATTTAAAATCTCTAAATATTCCATCCAACTCTTAAAGAATGCTCAAAGGAACAAGATAATAAGTACGTTGAAATAACGGTAGACAAAGAATAATAGATTTTACTAACGATAATTTCCCTGGTAATGAGATAAATTTGTTGCTCCAGTTTTGAATCTTATCCAAAGTCTTTTGAATAAGAAACCCATAATCATCAACACCAAGCCATCTTAATGCAATGTTCACACCCAAGTAAGTCATTTCCTTATCCACTCTTAATCCCATCAAACAAGAAACCAATTTTTTCTTCCTTCTCTTCACTGAATTACCAAAAAGAACTACAGATTTATCAAAGTTTATGCTTTGACCCGTCCAACCATAATACTGTAGTAAGATGTTTTTAATATTCTTAACTTTTTTGAGAGAAGCATCAGAAAAAATCACAATATCATCCTCATAGAGTAAATGCGAGATATATGGAACATTTGAATAAACGAGTAAATGCGAGATATAAGGAACATTTAAATAAACTTTGATAAAAATTTCACTTTTCTTTAGAGCCAATGCATTTAAGAGAAATTGTGAGCATATTGTTGAGTCTAGTAATTAGGTTGTTAATCCTAAGTGAATGTCCCAAGGCTAACCAAGAGGAGGGGGGGGGGGGGGAAAAGGGGGGGGGTGAAAATGTAATTTAAAAAATTATACTTCTACTCTTGGATTTTTAGAAAACCTTTTTAATTATTAATGCAAGTTAAATTTAAAGTTTAAAAAATAAACTTTTCAACCAGAGTAAACAACTTGCAATGAAATTAAATGCGTAAGAAAAATAAGAAAGAACACACCAGATTTATAATGGTTCTTTCAAACCTTGACCTACGTTCACTCCCCGGAGGCACCCTCCGAGTATTGCACTAATACCACAAAGTAACTCTCCTTTTGCTCCCAACGCAAGGCGGAGAAGCCTGTACAAAAATTTCCGCTGAAAATTCGTCGGAAATTCATTAAAAATGCTTCGTTGGAAATCAGAAAGAAATACATAGAAAAATTCGTCGAAATGCCCGATAGAAAAATTTTGCCAAAAATTTATATTTTTTTCTGTAGTGAGATGACATTTGGTAAGAATTTTAATAGTTTTTAATAATTTATTTAGCTATAAATGCTAATGTAATTATTACAGATATAGCTACTATGTAGAGAAATATCTACTATTGAGTTGCACAGTTGTACCCATAAATGAGTGAGCGATGTGAGCCTATATGAACATTTAAGTTTACAATTTTAAGCATCAATTATAAATTGAATAATCTTTTATTATATTGAGAGATCCGCTGTGTGATCGACATATTATTTTGACTACCGCATTTCGTCGTAGGCGATAGATGAAATGTAGAAGAGACAAGTTTATGAATTAGGCTCCTCGCGATCCTATGCATATGAGAGGTTCTCTGGTGGGTCCAACCATATATCTTCCCGACCACCAATCGCCTTTGTACTTCCACTATTTTGTTGGTCTCAGCCATAACCCCTTCCGACTTACGACCATAGTCGAACTTATGCTTGTTAGATGGTTGTTGGAAGATCTCTCGCTAACCACTTACGGTCTCAAAATTTTCGTCCATCTACTAAATATATTTGGATCCTCAACCATTACCAGATCTCAGCCAAATATTCTCTCAATTGATGGTGCCAAATTTTTAACACACATTCATTCAATATTATGAGTTCTCGTCTGAAGTTTAATCAAATCTTCTATACATTGTCTTCTCATTGTCCTTAAATTAGGGGACGATACGATCGATGTAATATGCTTATATATTAATAAAATCGTTTCAACTATACAAGACCCGAGATTTCGTCCCTTTTTAGGGTTTTTCTTATAAAAAATTTAGTATTTCTCTATCATCTTTATTGTCAGTTTGTGTGATGAATTTTCGTAAATTGTTAAGACATAAAATATTTTCATTCTGCCACCGCAAATTTCTCAGTCCGTTACAATGAGCAATCATTTTTTTTATGCTAATGAACATTTATTTGGATACTATTTATTGAATTTGGTTGCTAATTTCATTGATTATATTAATATTATTGCGACCTAAATAAAAGTTAGCCATTAAATGGGCAATCAAATAAATCATGAATGCACCCTTTAATTTTGTTTATATTGATTTTGGAGATCTCTTCAAAATCATGAGTTGTAGTACATGAAGTACCAAACAAAGTGATTTTATATTCACCATTATTAAAATGGACAGAAGCATTAGCATTTCTAATAAATGTTATGGGAGTGCTTTCAAGATTTTTGGGTTGATAAATGGTGATAACAGTCAGTTGAGAGTTCAAAAATCAGTGAAATGACGATTCTTTGAATTCCTAATAGTTCAATAAAAAAAAGTTTCAATGAAGCCACGGGCTATGGAGAAGAATAATTTCCATTAGAATATGGGAGAAACGTAACTAATATGATATGCGATTTCCTTAAGATTTTTCTAAAAGATGATTGATTGGATGAAGAAATTATTTAATCAAAATAATCTGATTTTTACTCTAATTTTTTTTTCAGAGGAGCATAAGCATGTGTTCTTAAATTCTGACATTATTCAAAAGAAATTTTATTTGATATAGTTGTGCTATTCAAAATGCTCGACAAACATAATTAATATTCTAAATCAAACAGGATACATAAGAGTGAACAAACTACTAGCTGGATACATAAGAGACTTCATAAAATATATATAGTAAAAGTTCGATAAGTGATCATATAAAAGTACATGATTGTAATTGGACATAGATGGATGCATAGATCAAGTATTTTGATTTACTAATTTCTCCTCCCTTCCAAATGACGCAACACTGTATGCATGTTTGTTGATAAAATAATTAATTGATAGTCGGGTAAGAAGGCTGCATGGCAATTCCACAGAGTCCTTCGACAGCATCAATGTCCCTTTGCATCTTAATGTAGCCATCATCACCCCAGCTAGTACCCCATGAGTTCTTAACCAGCCAGTACTTGGTTCCATCTGTGTCGATGCCATAGCCGATGGCAGTTACTGCATGGTCGAGTTCGGTATCACAAGGGCCAGTGAAGATGCCACCTGCATAGTGCTGGAAGTTGGGGTCGCCACCATCGATAATCACAGAGACTGGCTGAATAGAGACAGCTTTATGCAGTGATGCCTCGCTGTTACTTGGAACATCCTCAAAACCGGAGATTGTCACAGCACTGTCGGACTCCATATTTGAGTTACAGGAACCATCGGCTGCATTGTATGGGTAGTTGATCTCAGTGGTTATGCCTCCATTGTCGATGATGAATTGAAAAGCACCATCCACGAAGCCCCCATTGCAACCCTGGTTCTGGCCATTCACATCACAATCAACAAGCTCTTGTTCCGAGAGGGAAATCAGATTCCCATTCTTGATTTGGTTGATGCCCTCAGTGGCTGCCACCGTCGAGAATGCCCAACATGCTCCTGCTTGTCATATATTTGTTATTTAGTTATGCTCAAATGGACTAGAATATATATATTTCATGTAAGGGGATTAATCCTCACCACATTGGCCTTGATCCTTTATAGGAGTGACGGCTCCCATACTCCTCCAATCTAAGTTAGTTGCTTCTACCGACACATTCTCATACCTAAAGTTTCTAGGTATCACACGAGATGAGGTCGAGCGCTTGTATCCAGAGAGGTAAATAGCATTGAACTCCTCATTGGTCAGGTCTGTGAACTGATTGTGTCCAAGCCAGTACTTGTGTTTCCCGGCATTAAAGCTCTCTATGTGCTCCATGTTGGACTTAAAGATCTCGAACCGTTGCGCCTTTTCAGTTGCATTTCTATACACCTTCCCGTACTGCGCCATCCACTGTTCGTGGCGTTTCACCATTGATGATGTCCCATCAGGTAGAATGCGGGATGCGGAAGTGGCAACAGCCAATGCTCCAAATAGAAGGAAAGCCAGCAATGACAACTTTCTCATGATCAGTGCCATGTCTAGCTAGTTAATTAACTGAATCGTGTAGTTGGTGCAGAATGCTAACTAGTATGCATGGGTTTATATAGAAGCTAATTTGAGCATGGTGAGTGTACGTAGGAATCCATATGACTTTCAATTTTAGGTTATGTACGTATGAATCCATATAACTTTTAATTCCCGGTTATCTCATTATGTTATGTAGCAATGCCTCCCCGATTGGGTGGATGCTAATTAGTCAAATTAAACCTTTAGTTAAATTTATAATATTGTTCGAACGAACTGTGACGTTGCCTGACATTATTAACCACGAGGCTAAGTGCCTCCTGAAGAATGTGTGTATGTTTTTATTCACTCAAAATACAATCACTCCCTTTCAAATTTAATTCAAATAGAAAGTACAAGCTTCAAATTCTCAAAGTATCTCATGCTGAATTTGATTTGAAGTCTTCGTAGTCTGGAGTTCGATTTTCCTGAAATATTAGTACACACAAGAGCAAAAACAAATCTTTCAAAAAATGTTAGGAGATAACAACACATAAAACAATAATATTTAGAATCATCAAAACTATACAAGTTGCAAGAATGTAAAACATGCAAATAGCAACTTTCCTAGCACATATGATATACAAAAATGGAGATAAAGGACAACCTTGCCATAACCCACAAAATGCTTTGATCCAATTAGGATATTTCCCATTAACCAAAATAGAAAATGAAGGGAACTCCATGCATTTCAAAATCAAAGTAGAAAACTTAACTGGAAAGCCAAAGTATTGAAGAACTAGATTTAAAGTAGCCCAACCCATACCATTATAGGCTTGTTCCATGTCAATCTTGAAAGAAACCATACCTTTATTTGTTTTAGAAAATATGAATTTATGGAAGATTTCTTGAGCTTGCAACACATGTTCAAACATATACCATCCTTTCAAAAAAGCTGCTTGTTCTATCGAAATTAGTTTTGGAATAACCTTAAGCAATTTATTAAAAATATTTTTTTCTACAATCTTGTAAATAGATTTGGATAAGCTTATAGGTCTAAAATTGGATGGAAGCAAAGGATTATCAACCTTTGGAATGAGCACCACTAAGGTATCTTTCAATTTATCATCCATAGTACCATATGAGAAAAATTGGTGATTTTCTCTCCACATATAAGGTTTAATGATATTATAATAGATCTTAATAAAAGAATAAGAGATTCCATCATTACCTGGTGATTTAAATCCAATGAGCTGGTTTAGCACATCCAACATTTCCTCTAAAGAGATCTCAATGTCCAAAATATTTCTGTCTTCATCCTTTATCGTATTTATGGGTGGTGGCCAATCACATAAAGAACATTCTTTATGCCTCCATTTATTTCTATAGAAATTTAAAAAACTTCAATTTGGTTTGAATCTTCTACCATATCTTCAAACACATTTTTGATTTTATACACCCAATTAGAATTCCTTGTATCATTTGCAAAAGAATTAAAAAATCTAGAATTTGTGTCACCTTCCTCTAGCCATCTTACCTTCGAACATTGCCTCCACCAATTCAATCTAGCTAAGGTGCAATTGAGTTCATCCACCTTAGACTTGAGAATAACCAACTTTTCCATGGAAAGAAAACCTTATTTACCCTCCTCTAATTGCAACTCCAATATTTCTTCTTTAAGATGATTTTTCAAGTAATTCACATCTTGAAGATTAGCCTTACTCCAAAAGTAAAGAGCTCTCAAAGCCCTTTTAGCTTTAATGTCAAGAACTTTAGAAAAACTACCAACGACTTGCCTAGTCCACGCTTTGGCCACCACACCGTAAGAAGCATGCTATGAAGCCCAAGGTTCTTCAAATATGGTAACTCTCTTTACTTTGAATTTATTTTCCAAAATGTTTACCAAGATAGGACAATGGTCATAAGCTACCCTTGAAAGATGTTTAACCACCACCCATTGAGATACTTCAATTGCTTTAGAATTAAAAAAACATCTATCTAACCTCTCCAAGTTTCGAGCTCCATCTATCTTGTTCTTACACCAAGTAAAATACGGTCTTGTAAAGCTAACATCATGATAATCATTGTTGATTAGAAAAGCTTTCATTTCCTTAGGACCTTGAGAAAAACTGAATTTTTTTCAACCTCTTTTATCACCATTTTCCAGTAAACAATTGAAGTCTCCTCCTATTAATGAAGGTAATTCTTTTTTTTTTTTTTGAAGAAATGCAAAATTTGCATTAAAATAAAAGAGAGGACAACCTAATACAAACTAGGTAATAGAAGATAATGATCCATTTTTCAATAAGAAAAAGGGACCTTATTAAAACTAAATTTGTTAATTTAAACTTTTTATAAATGAAATGAAATCCACTATCTCCTATTTTGAAACTGTTGAGATGCAGGGGATACCAAATTTTAAGACAACCCGAGGGTTGGTTAGTATCCCAGAGTTCCCATCCAGTTAGAAAATAAGAAGTAGTAAAGATCCCATAATCATTTATACAAAGTTTAAAATAACAAATTAAAAGTAAAAAAAAAAGGAAATAACTTCTAAAAAGAAAATTACAATTTAAAATTGAACTCCAAAAGTTTGGTATAAAATTACCAAACTTTATGTTCATAATCTCGATCTTCAAGTATATCTCTGCTAAGTTGTTATCCACAGGAAAAACTTTTTGCATTTTTAGTGAGATAAGAGGAAAGAAGAACCTCTCAAACCGTTCTTCTCTTTATAATCAGCCATCTTTCTTCTAGGTAATTCTTTCACTGGTCCGAGATCTTGTAGTTCTTTGTACAGCTTGTGTTTAGAACTTGAAGAATCATGTTCTAAAGATTTTTTATTCTTTAATAAGGCAGTTTTTTAAACTTCAAACTGATTGAAGAATAAGGAGAAATGGTTCTAGAACAACCATCTTTTGTTTCCTCAACATTAACAAACAATTCAAAAATATTTGCTGTCTTTATAGGAGTTGAATCTGAAATCTGCCCATTCACAGATTTTTCCTTAACCGTCTCCATCATTTGTGGAATTTGAATTTCTGAATTCCCAACAACCTTCAGATTAACATTTGAAATAATAGAAGATATATTAATATCTTCATTTAGACTGTTTTCCAGCAAATGATTAGGATCTGTATTTATTGTAGACGGGTCCAGCTTCTCCTCCTTTTCAGCCTCCAAGAGTGATGAGTTAGTTGGTTAGAAAGCCATGTCTTCAACCTTATAATTTGAATTTTGATCTGTACTGGAATCTCCTAACAAACCAGCATCAAAATTTTCCACCTCAGCCAAAATTTTAAATGAATTAGATTCAAAAATTGAATCCCGAAAATCCTTGCTGATTTTCAAATTTTGGTTAACTACCACTTCTTCTCCTTCATTGAATCTAGCATTTTCTTCAATCTGACCTGCAGCTTTCATAGGATCGGACATCTGTTTAATCACATTCCCATTTGTTAATGCTTGAACAATATCTTCTGGACTAGCATTAACAGTTTCTTCATTTCTACAACCCAATCCAGTTTTTTCTGCAGCTGAAAAAATACTGGATTTTAATTGATATCTCCTTGATTTCTTCTTGTTTTTGAACTGGACTTGCATCCAAGGACCAAAAGGAATTTCAGAATTATTTGGGATGTCAACATTAGGGCAAACTGAATCAATATGCCCTATTATCCCACATTTGAAACAAAGTGATGAAAGATTTTCGTATTCGAACTTTTGAAAGAATTTTCCGTGCAACCCTTCTACCCAAATTCCAGAAGGAAGTTTAGAGTTCAAATTAACTCGAATGCATGCTCTAGCAAATTCTCTTCTTCCCCACCTAAACATATTTCCATCTAATAGAAGAGGAGTCCCAATCCTAGAGACAATTCTAGTGATATTGGACTCATCCCAGCAGTGTAGGGGTAAGTGAGGAAGGAGAACACATATTGGAGATGAAACACCTTCCAATGAGTTTGGAGAGAAGTTAGGAGACCATTTGTCTAACCCAACTACAAAACCCCCAACAAACCATGGACCTCCATTAAGAACCTCTTCCATGGCTTCATGAGTTTGAAATGAACAAAGTAACCAATCTAGTCCAAGAATGGTTAAATGAAATCCTCCAAATTTCTTCCATTTCTTTCTTAACTCAATGGCACATTTAGAGAATGGTAAATCTTTCACCAGAATTTTAACAACCAAAGATTTACTTAAAACATGAATATTGGACTTTTCTTTATCCATATCCATTTTAACAATGTTTAAATCTCCAATCACATCATGATTTTCATTCCAATTAATTTTAATATGTGCTTTTTTATTCCACACATTAGAATTTTCAAAATTGGAAGAAATAATTTGATTACTGATATTGACATTGGCCTTGTCAATCTCCTTGTCTTTCTTCAAAATATCAACAAAGCTACTCCTTGAAGAAGAAGCTTCTTTGTCATTAGCTCCAAACAAAGAAACCGGTAAAGGAGATTTAAGTAACTTGAATGAAGCCGAAGTTACTTCTTTTCCCTTACTTGAATCCGGTAATTGCTTTTGTGTAGCCACCAATCCCCCCTCTTTGATAATAAGAGGAGATTCTAAAACACGAAGATTATGAGGTGAGATGCGTATGGATGACCGGCCACCTTCTTCCATCTCCAATCTTTGCACCTGAAATCTTCAAATTCTCTTCCCAAATCCTTCCTTAAATTGTGGAGCTTCTCTCTCTTCCTTTGCTAAGCCCGTCTCTCAGCTTTTGTCCTTCTTAATGAAGGTAATTCCTTGGAGGAATATTGTTCATCTTTACTCCATACTTCTCTTCTTTTAACAATGTCATTTATTACATACACCGTAGAGGTACGTCAAATACCCTTATTAAGAACATCTAGGTTCCCAATAATGCCCTCTGAGAAAGACTCGAAAACTTTAAAAGATGACAGCTTAGTATTCCATAAAATAATAATTCCTCCTGATAGTACACTAGCTGGAACATAAAAAAAGACCCAATCTTCTCCAATAAGCTTTTCTACTTCCTTCTTTTCAATGGAAGAAAGCTTGGTTTCCAACAATCCAAAAACAAA